TCCATTGCAGCCATGTTTTAATGACTTACCACGAGAGCAAACATATTCACATGTGACTTTAATAGCATTTCTCAATGGAAACACCGCAGTTGTGAAACTGTTTTTTCGACATTAATGGAATATCGACAAAGTTTTGCGCACATTTGCAATGGAAACCCAGCTCTCTGATACCACCTTTAAACCAGGCTCCATAGAGACCCTCACGATGAGAGTGAGTTCTAGTGCTCCTCTTCCTCGGGACCCGTGTATCTGTTTGTCTACAGCAATGATGGGCAACTTACAGTAAATAGTGAAAGGGTCCACTATTTTTTGAATGAACACAAAACTTTTGAAGGAAACAATAAATAAATGCTTACTTTAGCAAGCTGAAGTGCATTGTTATAAGACTTCTTGAGTGTGGACTCCTGTGTAGTTCTGTTTCTGGTGAAACGTCTCTGTTGTTTATGTACTTCAGTAAACTTATCATATTTAGCTTTGTGCAACGTGTTGCTGTGATGACTTATTAAAATCCTTCATGGCCAACACATTCTCATGTCGGACTCTTCAACATATTGATGCTTGGGCAGGGACTGTCTGCATCCAGTTTTGAGGCGTTGGGTACCTCCCTTGCGTCAATCATTGCCGCCCGCGGCTTTTCCGAGTTGCGTCACTTAGGGGTCTTTGGGTCAGGGGTCTGAGTTTAACGTGAGGGATCAGGACTAATGGTTAATTTAAGATACTGGGGTCAGGGATAGGCTGTATATAGCTAATATAGGTTAAATTTAAGCTCTGGGATGGTTAGTTCTCGCGAATTCTCTACATTTAAAAAAGTGGTTAATATGATGGATCAAGGTTAATGGTTAATTTTAGGGTCTGTGTTCAGGGATAGGCTGTTAAGGCTAGTAGAAGTTAAATTTAGGGTCTGGGATTGTTAGTTTTGCGCACTTTCTACTCTCGTAAAAAATATGACAACGCGCTCGTCCTCCTCCACCTCATCTTGTAAAGAACAGACACGCGGGGACTACCCAACGTGTCCGAAAGTTGACGCAAATGGCTACCTGACCAAACGTCAATATGTTGACGCGGGGGGCATGAGAATGTGTTGTCATGGCAGACAGTCTCTAAGCAGTCTACCTCCCATTTCACCTGAAACATGAAGTTTTATCTGTCCTGGCAACCAACTTAAAGGAGCATTACCACCACTTCCTGTTTCGAAGTATGGGTCAAACTGTAAGCTTATATACTAAAATATGTGACCCATCACATCGAAACGAGGATTAAGTCCAAAAGTGGTATATGGAAAAATAAGAAATATAGTGTTTTGACTAAAATGTTAACAAAAGTTGGATTTTGTCAAAATATAATGAATAAAAGCCTTATCAATGTATCAGTTGAATGAACTGTCTGAAATATAATCATAACACAAAATTTTGAAGCACTTTTTGAGCAGTAGCAACAAAAAAACAGATTTTGAGGAAAAACGTCTTAAAATTTTGAGATTTTCTCTGTGAGTTAGCAAAGTTTTGTTTATTTTTAGCTGGGAAATCTCAATATTCAAATATAATTTGAGGTTTCCTCTTTATAAGGACATCAAATATTCCTCATTAAAATTACATAAAATTAGGATTCAGTCCAAATATGTATGTATTATTGTAATCAACAAGAGAAATTAAGTCATATATATGGATTTAATTATGATAACAGAATGATCCAGGTATCAAAATGTAGCTTTTCAAGCCAAGAATCTGAAAATGTAATGAGGTCATTTTGACCAAATTTGACTTAAGCCTCATTTCGATGATGGGTCACATATACTGTACATACAAATATACATAAAAAAACTAAACCCTACAATAGAGCCCCATTTCCTTTAAAAAAGACATCCATACTCTTACTGGTGCAACACTACCACAACACAAAATTAAACTGCTGTACTCCTTGTTCCTCCCTCAAAATCTTCTGATGCACGTTATGGACCCTACATCTTAAAATCTCATGCTCAATTGTCTCCTCTTCCTCGCAACCATCACACCTCCCTGTCTCGTGCTTCCCTATCATATATGTAATGTGCTATTAAGTGTGCAATGTCCTAATCTGATTCTTGTAACAATGGTTTCTATTCCTTACTGGTAAAAATGACTGTGTGAGGTGGCGTCTGCATTGGAGGCGCCAACGTGTTTTGGATGCTCAAAACGTAGCTTGAATAACCTTTATTTATTTTAACTCCTCTTTTGCTTATTTGATTTAAACTTATTTTCCTTCCATGGACCTCCATCACACAATTTTTCTAACGGGGAAATGACATCAATAGAAAAACGTGGAGCTGGATTTTAATTTGTGCGATAAGACAAAAACACTATATTAGTTGTTTTCAAGAGTTTTCACTTTAAAGAAAGTAGTTAAACAACTGATGTTAAAAAACAAAGAGTTGGATGTTGTGTTGATATTTGTTAATTTTATATATTGAGAAATAAATATGTTACAAAAAAATATCGTTTGTTAAAAAAAAACACACACACAAAGTACTGCAAATTGGTTGCCAGTTACCAGGTATTGATACCGAATCGATACAAATGTCAAAGGTATCCATCCCTATTGGCGGTCCAGGCGGACGTCACCCATGGGCCATATGTGGCCTGTGGGCCTCCAGTTGCTCATCCCTGGACTACAGTTCAGTTCTTCCTCACTTCTTCCAGGGAAAGAAACTGTATTTATAAGAACCAACATGGAGGGAATAAACTGTTGGATCATGACTGGCTGCCCATGTCACCTGCATGTTCACCTCTAAGGTAAAGCAGTGTGGTTTTAGTTTTTCTCTAAAGACAAGTGACATAAAACCCCTAAAACTGTGTAAACTCCCTGCCCGGATACTAAATAAATAAACCTGTAATTCAAGCTTTTGTATCAAAACTTAATATTTAAAGTGATTTGTGATCTCGAGTCTTTTCTGACCCACTTTAAACACAAACTGTAAGGGTTAAATCAGAGGAGGCCAAAGTGGGGCCCGCGGGCCAAATTTGGCCCACCAAGCCATTTGATTTGGCCCACCAACAGTTGCCAAAGTTACAAGGTTGTAACCTGTTATCCTAACACAGCATTTCCATTGGTCAAATGATTATATAAAAGGGCTGTAGTGAAGGTAGTTTTTATTCATGGTGCTGATTTTATCTTTGATTTAATAGGATTAAACATGAAACATGAAATTACAAGAAACATTTAGATCAAATTTAACCCCACATGTTAAGGTTTAATGTGAAAAATTTACCAAAAATAAAGTTATTGATTGATTGATTGATTGACATGTAGATTTGCACACTTTATAAGGCCACAAAAACTCATATTTTATCAATTTATGAAATGTCCCATGAGCCTTTGCTACTTGAGCGTATGGCAGACTTTCTCAAAGTGCACAAACTAAAACAAAAGAGGGCCATTGCACAGCTTAATCATTAAAAATAAAGGACTTTGCTTACAAAAGTATTTGTATTTCGTGTATTATATTACTGCATTTGACCCGCAGCTCTGGATAGATTTGCATTTTGGCCCCCTCGGGGAAAATGTTTGGGCGCCCCTGGGTTAAATCATTTCTCACTGCAGAGGAATCACACTTTAAACCCGCTGCATTCTTCCACCAACGTCCGGGCATAAAATTCCAACTTTCCCTTTTTACACGTGTGAAAAAGAAACACCCTTAACAAAAATCTTTATATTTTATTTTATTCTATTTTATTTTTTCTGGCAAGTTTGAGGAGGAAACACTGCAGCGCTGCCAGTCCCTCTCCATGGAGACCAATCTGTGTTTATCACCAAACCCAAACTAAAGATAACATTTCCAGCAGTAAAAACAGCTTTGATTTGTAGATTTTATTTGAGTCAGTGCATTTTTTTAAACGTATTTTTAATCTCAGCACCTGTGTGAAGCTGTCAGTGTGTTGGGAGCTGATTTTAAATGATTTGTGGGTTTTTACAGTAAATTTACATTATTCTTTGACTTCTAAACCAATCAGGCATTAAACTGACCAAAAATCAACTCTTTATTGGTGTTGATGCACCTCAGTTATGTGTGTGTGTGTGTGTGTGTGTGTGTGTGTGTGTGTGTGT